ATAATCTTTCACTAGGAAAAAAAGGGGGTGTTCAAACTCGAAATTCTTATTTCGTGGATGGGAGGAAAGATTTAAACTTTTTGACTTTCTCGAAAAACACATTTGGGGGGGGGGGGGGGGGTATGAATATGCTGCAACAAAAAAATGTGGGGAAGGTAGAGGCAAGCTGCCTTTCAGTGAACATTTGCAACAGTAATTTTAAATATTTTTTTGTATATTTGTGTTTGAAAAATGTAACCACTAAGCAGTATTCGTAAAATTTGTAAACAATAGTTATACAAGAAGATGGGTAAAACCTTACCGTTCCTATTGACTTTACATCACAGCAGCTTACTCGGACATCAGCCAAGAAGTTTAAAGCGCTGACTTGAATTAGTCCGGTGTCATATAGTGAGACACCCCCCCCCCCCCATAGTGAGACTTCCCCCCGGAAATATGGCTATATATAGACGGTAAGACTCCCCCGTGGGGGGGATTACTATATAGTGAGTCTTTCCCCCTAAACGACCATAGTGAGGCTTCCCCCTTCCATGTTCAGTAGTATTTTATTTACATCGACGATGAATATCTATTTGCATTTTGATAATGATCTTATAAAATAGATACATGTATGAATAAATATAGAAGTGCGCATTAAAAATTTATCGTGCACAGTAAAAAATTGAATTGTTCCAAAATGATTCTTATAAAAAAAAAATACACTTAACATTTAAGAGATCATTACTCGTGGACTCTTGGAATTTGCTTATGTTAACCTTCATGGAGAATGCAATAAATACAATATAGTACAGAAAGATGTATACTTGTAACAATAACGTACATTCAAAAGGCTATTAAGATGTTTTAATTATTAATCAACGGAGAACTTTTATTCATATACTGAAAAATATTGTTTTACAATGAAATAAAATATTCCAGAAACTACATTTGAGGGGAAGTCTCACTATGAAAGGGGGGAGAGACTGGCTATGTAGTGAGACCTCCCCGGGAGAAGTCTCACTCTATTGCCAGTCGATCTTCCGGGGGGAAGTCTCACTATATAGCCAGTCTTCCAGGGAAATCTCACTATGGGGAAATCTCAATATACGACACTGACGCTCAATTGATTTCGAAAGATTTTCCACTTTTAAATATATGGTTTATCCAAAGAAATAACCCTCACATACATTTAAATATAGGTCAGTAATAAAATTTACACGTTATAAGCTAAAATTAGGCATTTACAAATTATCTGAAAGGGTACCAATTTACCAACCTTGATATTTAGGCTGTTCAAGGAAACAATCATTTTATATAATAATATTTCAAGAATAAGAGAAGTGATTTGATAGCTTTTTTGCCACTAACCAATAATGCAATTTAAAATTACACAAAGAAAATGATTGCAGGTGCTTTAATTATAAATTCTCAAAATACAAGTCGAGTGAAGAAATTGCGTCTTTTATACAAAGGTAACAATATTGTATTTCTGACATTTATTTTTTATAGAACAAAAAAAAAAAGAATAGTGCAGACATGCGTAAAAACTCACAATGATTATAATCTTTCTTCCAATGCCTGTAGTTTTAACATTAACTATTTGTTTTAAAATATATATTAAAAATGGCATGAGGTTATTGAATGACTTAGATACACATAAAGGTAAAATTTCCGACATCAATTCACATCAGTCGTATTTAAACTTTTAATGCGAGTATTTACTTTGACAGGGGCGTAGCTTCCATTGTGGCAATGAGGCAATTGCCTCACTAGATTTTTCACCACCACCACCCCCTCACATAATCAACAATACATTGCAGAAAATACGTACAACTAATGGCATTTCTTTTAACATTTTAAGCAGTTCTATAATGTTGAATTTAAGTTTTAAAGAAATAAAAACAAAGTTTAATAAGATGCATTTTCATCTTTTTAAAATGTTTTAAAAGTTTTAGTAAACATATTTATTAACTCTTTTAGATTCTTTTACAATTTGTAGTATCATCATATATAGCTTAAGTCTTAAATAAAGAAACCGGTATATGTGTAGCAAATGAAATTTCATTGCATTTTAAAAACCCCAACTCCATTTTCTGTCGGAGTGCCCCTCCCCTCCCCCCCCCCCCCGACTCCACCCTGGACCTGCTGGGGGGCCTAAGGCGGCCCCAGACCTCTTGCTGCTATGGTTTTGCCTCACTAGAATTTAAAGTCAAGCTACGCCCCTGTTTGATTTTGTTTTTCTGTAAATTCTTGGATCCATGCCTTGGCTGATCTATAATCGATGCCATGTAAAGTGTACTTTTATACACACGCGCTGGCCATCATTTACGTAACAGCCTAGATAACTGCATGTTATTTGAAGACCGCCACTTTGTTTTTCTGTAAATACTTTGATCCACGCCTTGGCCGTTCTAATCGATGCCATGTTTAGTGCATTCTGATACACACGCGCTGACCATGATTAGATAACTGCAGGTATTTTGAAGGCCCACCACTTTGTCTCTGTGACTCTCTATGATTTATGTGTAGTTTTTCTTTTTTAAGATGGCCTGTTTGACAGATCGCCCATTCTTTGTCATTGAGCAGTTTTGTTTTTACATCTCTGTATTTAGAAATCGTGTCATTTGCCAGACCACCAGCTTATCAATGGCAGCTTACACTGGGGCTTCATATCAGAAAAAGCTCAAGGTATTCATTTTGAATAGGTGATATCACCTATTCGAATAGGTGATATCACCTATTCGAATAGGTGATATCACCTATTCATTTTGAAGCTGAATAGGTGATATCACTTATTCGAATAGGTGATATCACTTATTGAATAGGTGATATCACCTATTCAAATAGGTGATGTCACTTTATGACAGTAAATACCAAAACGGCGCCTCATAAATATCTGAGAAAAATTTACAATAATTTTATTTTATAAAACATCACTAACAAGAGGAGCAAGATGGTTGTTTTTTATAGAAATAGAAGGGATATTATTATTTTTCACTCGATGAAACGAATAGTAAGATGTCCAACTGAATAAATGTTTGCAACAATCGCCACCTTTCGAGGGGAAAATCTCCACGATGGTAGACTGGTACCCTGACATTGGTTAACGGGCGCAAGCGCCCTGAAAAACCAACTTGTAATTCCTAGCGGCAGCGACTGGAATCAAGGGCAGAGAACCAGTGCTATCCAAGAGGGTGACATGAAATGGTGAAATGATCGGTTTTTGGTGAAATGTCGGTTGAGTATGATTAAATGACAAATAAAAAACTGCAATGACTGTGGATTTCATTTTATAGGATTACCAATACCTTATAAACATAGACGTTTTGAGTTCAATCCTTACCGCCAAGGCTTTATAGAGCCAATTTTATCGAAAATATCGGAGGAAATCGGCCGCCATTGATGGGTCTCATAGTATACGGTATACCACGCCCGGTTGTTGTTTTTTTTAAGTCCCGTATTATTTATATGAACATTTCTTGTATCCCACTATGGTTTGCGTATTATGCCATTTTGATTGAGAAAATTAGTTTAAGACACAGTATTGATATTAAAAAAGTGCACGTAATGGAAGAAACTTAAAAAAATTCAGATATGATGATATTATATAGAATTATTCAATCATTCCTTTCTAAATTCTCATTCATTTTTTCATCTTTCTTCTATGATAAGAACGAAAGAATAAAAATATAATTAAAGAATACATGCAATTATAATTTAATTTAAATATCAATGAATTATAATTTATATATCAGACTATCTTTTAAAAAATGTTTCTTTGACCTCTCCGGACCGACTGCCTAAAAATGCCAATACTAAAAAAACAACAACATTTTTTAACCCCAAATCAGGGCGGCCTGCCTAATTGAAGACCTACAGGTAATTGAAGACCTACGGAAGACCTAGGGAAGACCTTAAAATAAGAACAATATATGTCATGAAAAATAAATATTAGCTGAAATATGAATATAATAAGACTTTCTTTTTATAATTAAACAAGTAACATGCATGTAATCACTTGAATGAAATGTATGCATATTTTGAATAAATTATTATTTTTTGCTGTTCAGGCTCAGTGAAATACAAGAAGATTTTGTGTGGATCTTTAAGAAAAATTACTTAAGATTTTTTAGTTAACTTATATTTAATAAGTTTTGACACTCTGTCAAAAGCATAAACATATTTATTTCAATTATAATATCTAATTTGTACATCAATATACCAAAATGATTTTGAAAATAAATTTTAAAAAAGAAATAAAGGAATTCAGTAAAAAAAAAAAAGTCCACTCATAGGATCTGGAAACTTGTTATAACAATTTAATAATTCATTTAAAAATATACATATATTTTATGATTGATCAAATTATGGTATTATATAATATGTATATGTCTCTGCTTTGGTTAAGTTTTTTGTTTTTATTTTATTTTATTTATTTATATTTTTTACGAAATAAAATAATATTCCCTTTTATTATTTCATCTTTGATGTATTTATTTTTAAATATCTTCAATGATTCTATTTTTCTTCATTTAACTATTGATTTATTTACATTTTTCTGATATGTTTTGGTGAACAGCTGATTTGTTATTTACGCGAGTTATCGTTCTTGTGTAGGTCGTCTGAGAGAAGAAAAAGTTCCCCATATCGAGCTTTAAAAATACACTTTAAAACTTCTTTTTATAAAAAGTTTTTGTATATTTTATATATTTAAGACATGATTAATCAGAATATCACATCAGTTTTGCTTTATATAGCCCATATTTTTGTAGGTCTTCTCTAGGTCTTTCGTAGGTCTTCAATTACCTGTAGGTCTTCAATTAGGTATTTTTCTGAGAATTTTTTTTGGTTGAGATTTCTATCTTCAATGCGATGCGCCTCTCAGGCCTTCAGGCCTTTGATTATTTAATAATTTCGTTTTTTATTTAATATTTTCGTTTTTTAATTTAATAATTTTGTTGTTTTTTTTAAATTTATTTTTGGTTTTGCACTATTGGGCTTCCGTAGCATTGCAGTTAGGCAACATTCAACAAACATGGCAGAGAGTAAACTTAGATATCCGCTGGGCTCTCCTCAAGAGCATATTGAAATGTGTAAAAGCCACGATTTACCTATTGATATGATATGTGAGGACTGTAATGAATTAATTTGTGGTAAGTGTGCGAAAACAGATCATAGAGATCACGACTGGAGCACTATATCCACGGCAGCCACTCAAAGGAGGAGAGGTCTGTCTAACTTTCTAAGAAAGATTAAGGAAAAGGATCTGTCTGGGATTGATGAGAAGATAGAAAAGTTGTCAGAACAGATCACAGAAAATAAAGAGCTGTGTGACTCTGAGATTAAAAAGCTTCAGGAGCATTATGATGACATAATCAGCAGGCTGATAGAAATCAGGAAACATACTGAACAAAGGTTGACAGACCATTTGGAGGAAAAAAATGAAAAATTGAAAAGTAAGAAATCTAAGATGGACAAAAAGAAGAAAGAAATTGAAAAAATAGCTAAGTTTCTGGAGGAGAACAACAGCACCATGTCAGATTACGGCTTGATTGATAACCACAAGGAACTGACACAACTGCTGTCTAGCCTGGATGTTGATATAAAGAACTGTAAACATTCAGTGAGATACAGTAAAGGAGAAATCAGTGACGAGGTGATGGAGAATATGATTGGTAAAACTTGGGATTTAGATGATATCAGTTTGACTGAAGCAAGCTCATTCAAATATGGAGATGAAATAATAGTTTTATTGAGGGCATTTTGTGAAGATCAGTGTTACATAGGAGATTTAAAGTCACTTTACATCATTGAACAAGTAAACAAAGAAGGGGAGAAAAATCATAGATATAATATCACTGCTAATGACATTTGTGTAACTGATACTGGTGATGTTTATTTCTCTGACTTTAGTAACAATTCTATCAGTCGTCTGTCACCATCAGGATCTGTCTCTACAGTCATCAGTAAAGATCCACTGGCACCAATAGGAATCTGTCAGTCTGTGGACGGTGGACTACTGGTCACCCTGATAGACAATGAATCAGATGATTACAAATTAGAGTCACACAGCAGACGTCTGGTGAGACACATCACAGTGACAGGTGATGTCATCCATGAGTATGAATACCAGGAGGACGGTCAGACCAGACTGTTTATGTATCCATTCAGAGTCACACAGAACAGTAACAGTGATATCTGTGTTGTGAACCGCACAAGTGACACTACAGGTGAACTAGTGATTATGTCTCCTTCTGGTTGTATGAAGTCTGTCTACCGTGGACAAAACCTGACAGATGACTTTTGGCCAGGTAATGCAGTGTGTGACTCCCTCTGTAACATCCTTGTCAATGACATGAACAATATACAGATCCATCTACTGAGTCCTGATGGCAAATTTTTGAAGTTCTTACTGACAGAGAATGAAGGGAACTGTCCAACCAGATTATCGCTATGCAAGTCTACACTGTGGATGGGGTATAAAGAAGGACTTGTCAAAGTGTTTCAGTACAGGGTGTAGAATGTATTACAAATGAATTGTGATAAAATATGCATTGTAATATTCCTTTGAAGTTACATTGAAGTTAAAAGTCTGTAATATTTATCTATCTTTATTGCATACTTAGTGGTAAATAGTTTGTTTGTTGTTTTTTTTTTTTTACATTTATGATATTCCTGACATCACAATGGCTATATTGGCTTAAATTGTTAAATCAATGTTATAATTGTCTTTAATTATTTTGAACTTTGCAAAGCAAAAATCGAACTTACCATAGGTAGGCCTGAGTGCACTGATGGTGGTATCACAAGAAACAGTGTTTTTTCCTTCCTCATCAAAAGCCTGACCAGGAATTCTCTAATGATAGTGAATGATGCATAATTTACATCTTATTTCCATTATTATTAAAAATGACTTATCCAAAACTAAATTACAAAGCAAAACCTGAGGAGTACAATATTCACCGCACCCAAAGGGCGAGTTGAATATTGTATTTCGAAGGTGGCTAAATCATCGTACTGACTGAAAAAAATACAATAATTTATGATTGTTTTATTACATGATTCAATGATTAAATGATACAAACTCATTAAGCAGTTCATGCCATCTTACTTGTTTACATTTGCTGAAGACCTAATGCAATGAGAGAAGCAGGGTTAAATAATTATTAACGGTTGTATTACTCCCTGCTACTGACTTGTGCCTACCAGTTATTATATGTTTTACCTCTTGTTTGTTGTCCGTTTGATAAACAAAGGTTACTTCATTTGAATATTGTATATAACAAGTCATATCCCTTGTATAAATTTCCAATGACACTATTCTATGGTATTTAAAACAATTGATGCCATTTTTTTTTTAAAAATCGTAGTTTTGTTGTTAAGCATCTGAGTAAAATATGATGTAAGGCTTAAATGTCTATGAGGACCTTCATAGTGTCGTTTCCATTCATGGTCAAAGATGCCGATTTACAGAACAGGCAGCTCAGGTGACATTGTGATATTGAATAAGAGAAAATATGTTTTCATAAGTATCCCATTATTCTTTTTTTATTGCAGATACCATGGCAGAAGTTTTTCTCATGGGAGTAGACAGTGCCTGTGTGTTTCACAACACAAGTACTAGGCTTGCATTGTAGTACATCTGTAGAATTACTTTTTTCACCGAGGCACTACTTTACATTATGTAATTTTTGCGGAGATTTGTCCCAGCATAATTTGAGTACATGTAAAGCATATAGTGGCAATCTAAGAAATCCCCATAATTTTCTACCCATAAATTGAACAGAAATTGTGATTCCTCGGAATTATGACCCATGGAAATATGATAGGCCTCCCAGAACGATGTTCTAGTGGCCATAATTGTCAATATGCAATACATGAACTCATATGTTTTAGATGCATGTTTTGGTTCTGTAACATATAATATTACATAACATCTACAGTCCTTGTATAAGAAATTATTTGCAATGTTTAAACTTAAACGAAAAATTGCTAAAGAACTATATATGGTAAGGGCGTATTCCTGCCCCCATAATAGTCAAATTTTGAAAATCTCTTGAAATGAGAAAAGTGCATATATTGTATAAAATAATCCAAATTAAGACAATATATTATGAAATTGGAAAAATTAGCTGGCTTTTCTTGTCTCTGTGACGTCACAAACTATTTGGATTTCCGTTATTTTTAAAATAGAGGCCAAAATGCACAGAGTTTGTTCAATTTTGACGATAGTATTTATAGAGCGCAAGCTTGCTCAGGTATCATATTCACATATTTCATTGATATTATCATTCTACACATTATATCAAAAGATCTAGTCTGAGCAGACCTGCGCTCGATAATTTCCAATCAAAATACCGACGTAAAATACGCTATTTTCTCTCAAAATCATTGCAATTTGGAATTTACGTCATTTTATTGACGTCATATCTAATTAATGATGTCATAGTTGATAAAAATATTTAATGCTTTGAACTCTGCAAATATCCACCTGGTTTAGAACATAATTAAAGATTTCTCCATCAAAGTTTTATTTTGGGGGCAGATACTGGCCACTACAGAATATAGTCCTTTGGACAATATAAACTACAATACATATAAAATGTATGAAAGAAGATATTTGACATGTAGTTGTAGAAAAGATGAAAATATTTAAAGTTTCAATTTTAAGTTTTAATCCTTACAAACAAAGATACATAGCGGGTTCCAGTAAATGTTCAACCAAGCCTCTATCTTTACTCATCACTAAGATATTAACAGTGGTGAAGGAGAAACTTCAGGAGTACTGTGCAACAATATATTCGAGAAGTGGTGTAAATCAGATGTGGATACTTAAAAATTCCAAGGAACTTTTGGAAAAATTGAAATCACAAGATTTTACCAAAATCAACAGCTTAAAAACTTACGACTTTTCAACTTTATACACAACCATTCCCCACGATAAATTAAAGTCCAGGCTTTTTGATATCATTGACAGCTGCTTTTTCAATAAAAATGGAACTCGTAAATATACTTACCTTGTCATTGGTCATTTGCAAAATTATTTTGTTAAAAAACATTCTGATTGTACACACAAGTACTCTGAAGTTGACATTAAAAAGATGCTTGAGTTTCTGATTGACAATATCTATGTGGTTTTGGAGACCAGGTCTTCCAACAATCTATTGGAATTGCTATGGGTACCAATTGCGCCCCGTTATTAGCAGACCTTTTTTTGTTTTCATATGAACCAGAATTTGTCCAAAATCTCGTACGTGAAAAGAAGAAAACACTTGCTGTGGCGTTCAACTCGACATTTAGATATATCGACGACGTATTGTCAATTAACAATGGCTATTTTCATTCTGATGTCGATACGATATATCCCGGTGAACTTGAGATAAAAGATACCACAGAGTCTGACACATCTGTTTCATATTTGGATATTTTACTTGAGAAAGACGTTAATGGTAATCTAACAACCAAGCTTTATGATAAACGTGATGACTTTAACTTTTCAATCGTCAACTTTCCTTACTTATGCAGCAATATACCTTCATCACCTGCATACGGGGTATATATCTCTCAGTTAATTCGATACGCAAGAGCATGCTCTACGTATGTACAATTTCTAAAACGAGGTAAATTATTGACAAATAAGTTGATAAAACAAGAATATCAGCTGTCTCGTTTAAAGTCATCATTTCGTAAGTTCTATGGTCGATACAATGACCTTGTCAGCAAATACAATTTATCATGTACATATACAGGGTTATTGTATGATGATAGGGTAAACTGAACTAGAGTCGAACACGATCTACAGTCGGTCAATTTTGATGCTATTTTTAACAGACTTCCTATATTGAATTCATCTTCTATCATGATTGACTAAATCACGCAATTCTTAATTTATTCCTAATTTATTCCTAATTAATTCCTTATTTCCTTTGTTTCAAAAGAGGAATAACTATGTCTCGAATTTTGCCCAGAATTTTTCACTGGAAACGATAGCAATAGGAGAGTGAAAACGGTTTAAAAACATTGCAAATGGACATGCATCGAATCAGTAGTAGTTATAAGATTTCCGATTAGGCTTTGAATGTTGTCTTACTTTGGGATTTTTCAATAGAATTAGATTGCTGTCTCACATACATATTTTGATGATCGGGCGTTAATCTTTAAAAATTTGTTTGGTTGCCCTCTCCCGACCGACTGGCTGAAATGGCTGACTCATAACTTTGTTTACCCCCAACGAAACATTCATTGTTACGAATTCCGAGAAAAAAGATTTTGAAAATTCAGCATTGATTTGAAATTTTTCAGTGAAAAAAAAATCCAATCTACCTAACGACCCAAATTTTTCAACCAGAGGTGGGAGAGGGCAAACAAACATTATGATAAAGTTGGCCTCGGAGGGATATTTTGATTTCCCCCCCCCCAATTTTTACATTTATAAAAATAATAGAAGAATATTTTGCAGTACCCAATATGTAATCTTTGAAGATTCACTAAAATGTGTTCATGACATGTCCACTTTTAATTAATAGATGACTTGTTTAATTTCATTCATGGCACTTATTTTTACATTTAGATAACGGAAATTTTGTTAAATCCATATTACATGTAGTAGTTAAGGTCGTCACAAAAGCAATAACACCTGCACTTTTACTGTTTGCTACCTTGATTTTTTTTAATCAGTTTATTACCATAAATCCACATTTTGTTTACTGCAGTTAATATAAAAAATACATTTAATGTAGTTTTTAAGCCCCAATATTTTTAGATCTGAGAATAGTTATTTTATCAAAGGTGCCATAATACTTATTCTGAAGTTAATTATATATTATACAATTATATCACTGATCTGGGTGTAGTGTAGATTTTTTCTAAATATCTATATGATGTTTTCTTTTCTTTTTTTTAATGCATGTATAAATAAATTACGTTTTTTGGTATTTCATTACAATGAATGTACAGTAAAACTTTGAAACTCAAACATTGGCATCTTGAATACCATTGATATATTGGAGTAAATTTGAAGTTCCAGCTATATAAAAATATTATCTTTTATGTACTTAAGTATCTTTATCTTTGATCAACGAAGTTTGATTGTTTTCACTATGCATACGTATACAGTACATGTATAATGAGTAGGTATTAAAAGATTTTTGCTCATGTTTACACATGCTGAATCATTGAAAATTGTATATATTGGATATTTCATATACCACATGCAGAATCATAATACAATGTACAATAATGATTAAAATGTTTCCTTATTTGTTTTTCACATATCCTCATCACTGGCGTATATTTGTACTTTTTACTTCAATTTATTCACTACAAAAAATTGCAGTAAAACATGACATTTTGATCTAGCCAGATGTTGCTGAAATGCTGTTGTAAGAAGTTTGCACAATATCAACTCAGCTAAAAAATGTCATAAACTATCATTAAAGTTGTGTTGTTAGTTTTGTGTATTTCAATGGAGGGAAAAAATGCTTATTTAATTTGGATTCTTTCTTAATTAGTATTGATTCATTTATGACTTCCTTGATCAAAATCTCAATATTATTTATTAAACAAGATATTAATATCATGCTATATAAATGAAAAATGCAAAATTTTAAATCCAGGTATCATGGCAAAAAGGACATTAAAATAATGCAATACGGTGATCCTGGTAGCTCTAGTTCTATCAGTGACAGAGCAATCTCCAGGTT